TTCCTATAGCAAGGGTGAACGATTTATGAACACATTGTAACATTAAGTTAAAATAGGGAACAGTTTCTAAAAAAAAAGAAATGATATGATTACGTTCTTTATTTGTTGGGAAAATATTACTACTTAATTTCATTGATGTTAACAAAATTTTTTATTATAGATTATTATAGAATCGCGCGTAAAAAAGAATCCAAAAGAAAAAAAAGTCCCGTAAGTAATTGATTGTACTTTGCAATCCCCAAATCTTAGGTTACATCGTGATTAGGGTTGCGACCCAAACTCTTTTTTTTAGTTACAGTGTTTCTACTTAGTTTGGGTTTGGGAATTGGTATTTCTACCTAGTTCTGGCTCATAACCAAAACCAAAATATGTATCCCATTTTAGTAAATAGTGTCAAACTCAAACTGTCAATTCATTAAATAAATATTCGGCATTTAATATAATAATCTTTAAATTATTCAACAAATCTGACTTTTAATCATGTATATTCATGTTTAAATATTGATAATCTAAAGATTGAATCCAATAAGTGGGTCAATTATCGATTAATTAAATATAGGGTATAAGTTGGTAAAGTCTAAAAAATATATGAGTTTTTGGTTTCTATGGGTTCATTGTCTTTCTTTCTTTCTTTTTTTTTTTTTTTACTTATTACAGTTTTGTAAAAGCAATAATTTTTCTAATAGTAATGATAAGATAGTAATAATAAAAGTATTTGCTCAACATCAATCAAAATTAGTATTTCAATTATTGCAACGCTTGAACGTAAAAATAATTACAAGTTATTACATTAAAGAAGATACTTGAGAATATGGGGGTGAGTCAATAGAAATCAAGCAAATTTTTTATAATAAAAATTTTTTATAACTTTAAGCAAGAATAATTTAACAAAAATATAACCAAATTTAATAAAATTTTTTTTAAATAATTTTTATAAACCTGTAGAATTAGTTTAAAAAAAATTTGTTAAATTTATCAAGTTTTTGTTAAGTTATTCTTGTTTAAAGTTTTAAAAAAATTTATTAAAAAATATTTGCTTGATTTCTAGACTCAACCCCATATATAAAATATAATCTTAGTTTTATTAATAGCTTAGATTTGTTTATATTTGTTTGCTTTTTGCCAAAACTTTGCCATTTGGCAGGTTATACAGTATCGCTTTTTTTTTTATAGCGGGAGTACTAGTTTCGTCATTTGAATTTAGATTCGAGGTTTCGTCATTTTGATTTAGGTTTCACCTTTCGCCAGAAGTTTTCGTCTTTGTCATCACGTGGAAAGGTTTCGCCTAACAACTATATATATTGTACGATCGGGAATTCTACGGTGATATTATTAAAATCCATCCACCCTATAACTAATCAATTACATGTTTCTGCTCTGTTAGCTATGATAGGGTTAACAAATCAAATTACAGAATTATTAAAAACATGTGACAACTAACAACCAAAAGTTGATCCAATTAATCTAAAAGAAAATTTTTACCGATTCGGACTATTACTCTCATCGAAAATGGTAACTCACTTGGTTAGTTTAATTTCCGACTAATTTAAATTTCGCCTCCGATCCATTGAATGTTTGAGAACATTTTTTTTTTTTTTTATAAAATGGCATCTCTACTCAACCGAAGTGGCCTATTGCCGTTATTTAGTATTTTTTTACTCTTTCTGTCGGTTGTAACTGCAGCCAAAGGACCAATTATCACTAACAAAGGTAACGCAAATCTGTATAATGTTTACGAACTTATATACAAAATACTCATTTTACTAAAATTTGTCACAAAATTCAGTATATTTTGATATCAAGCATGGTGATAAGGAACTAGGTCGTATAGTTATAGGATTATATGGCAAGGTACGTAATGTACTGATAAAAATTTATTGATATTTTTTTAATCAATTACACAATTTTTAGACTGTACCAAAAACGGTTGAAAATTTTCGTGCACTGGCTACTGGAGAAAAAGGCTTTGGATATAAGGGATCGAAATTTCATCGTGTGATTAAGGTAAGTATTAAAATAGCATAATTTTGAATGGTTGGTATTGAAATCTCTTACATTCCTTTATTGTCAATAGAATTTCATGATTCAAGGTGGTGATTTTACTAAGGGTGATGGAACTGGTGGAAAATCTATTTATGGGGACCGATTTCCCGATGAAAATTTCAAACTTCGTCACACAGGTCCCGGTGTCGTGAGTATGGCTAATGCTGGTCAGGACACGAATGGTTCTCAAGTATGCAACTTTTACAATTATTACTGATTCTATATCAATATATATGTTATTATAAGCGTTTGTTGACCAGTTCATCAAACCTCACGTGATATTGCTAGTTTTTTATTTGCACCGCTACAACTTCTTGGCTTGATAATCGTCATGTGGTTTTTGGCTATGTACTGGAAGGAATGGATATTGTATATCAGATTGAAAATGTTGAAAAAGGCAGCAATGATCGACCGAAAGAAGATGTAACTATCGTTGATTGTGGCGAAATCGACATTCAGGAAAATGAGCAACCGTTGAGAGTTGAACTATAACACCTATTGAATGAACGTGTTACGGATGTTTATTTATGAAAATTTTGCATTTATAGACACCGTTTTCAACTGACGAAATACCACTACAATATTCCTCAAAGTGGTTAATATTTATAAGTTTACTGTTTTATTTTAGGCAATGTGTGTGCGGTTATGTTGGAACGTAAAAAAACGGGAATTTTATTCGTGTTGTCTAATGTTCTTACTGTTAGGTAGAATTTGATTTTTTATTACTATTATAATAAAATGATTTCCCATTAAAATTTTTTTTACATGAAAATTTTTAAATGTACAAAGCTAACTTATTAATCTATGATATCAGTATACGTTTTAAACAATTTTTTTTGGCATTAAGACTGTCTCTGTTACGTCACCTGGTCATTCGTGACTATAGTGACCGATGACTATAGGTCATGTGCGTAATGACCAAGAAAAACAAAATGAACTAGTCATTTCCCAACATTGCAACAAATGTTAATTGTGAAATATTATTATTATTATAATATTAATTTGATGGAAACTTAAGTTGAAAATCCAGACCCTAACCAACTGCTGACCAAATTTTTGAGACGATCCCCTTGAAGCAATGGCGTCATTAGAACAGATTCGACGCGTTCTACAGCTGGCTTGATTTTTTCTGATACGGATTTTTCCATTAAATTCGTTTTGGTCTCAAGAGCTCGAGCTGATCTTTGTTCTTCTAATTTTCTCCATAAATTTAAAATATCGGTAATTTGATCACTTGGACACAACGATAAGGCATATCCCATCAGTGTCATTTGCTGTTCCAAATCTTGATGATTTTCCTGTTTGGCAATCTCATAGCATATTCTCCAGGTAACATCCTTCGCTGAAGCTAGTTCCTCATTTTTATTGTCACTTTTATTACCACTCGCAAAAGTCTTGACAACATTCACTAAATCGATACACGTGCTGTATGCAGTGGCAAAATTATTATCACGTAACGCAGCATCTGCGAGCATGGCCATTACTTTAACTTCAGCAACTTTGTTCTTTTGATAACCGAGCTTCTTTGAAAGCTTTATAATTGATTTTGGGTCAAGGTAAGCATCTTCATATGTGCTTAACAAACGATCTATAAAGTCCAATCGATTTGATGAAAGACGTAATTGCATTGGATGTATTGGTACTCCAGGTTGATAGCCAATTTTCTTTTCTGACAATATATGTGTCGCCTCAATAAATTCAAGGTCTGATGTTATAGTGTCCGATATCGGTAATATTTGGAGGCTGTAAAATAGAATTACTTATTATTATTCATTTCAATTTAATAATATTAATACAACAGTAAATGAGACATGGCCGTTTTTTTCACTGATATATTGCATAATAAATTGAACATGGCCTTATCTCTTGCTATAAAGAAAAAAGTAATACCATTCATATGCCATTTTCATGTAACCATGATTCATATTTCCTGACGCTGCGTTGTCGAAAAATTCTCTAGATGCATTGATAACTAGTTTTTCTGCCTTATCCATTTCTAAAGGACGTGGTTTATCGGTTGGTAAAAGGATTTCACGTGCCAATCTAAATTCTATAAATTAAAAGGTTATGGATGATTATTAAAAATATTTTCACAAAAGTTAGTAGCGTAATTTGAATAGGATTGTTCACTATATTATCAAAGGATACTTCCACAGCTCAAAAGTCCAGATATGAAGTCTTCATAAATTCCTTCAATAGATATTTCTCCTAAGACACCTTTACCATCTCCCTGTAACATCTTCATTTCTTCTAACAACTGAATCCATTCATTGTCATTTTCAAAGTGCTCCCCATCAATTTCAGAATCATTACTTGCTTTTCTTGTTAATTGAATACATAATTGTTTTTGCATAGCATAATTTTTTGTACTCTGAAGGAACCACCGTAAAGATATTGTGTTATTGTAGCGTGCAAGGATTTTTGCAGCGTTTATATGAATTTCGAGGGAATTAATAATTTTCCGAAGTTGTTTTTTGTCCTTTGTCTTAAATATAAGTAGAAAATCATGAGGTGTATATGTTTGCAATAAATTGATATCTACACCAGAGTCTGAATGGGTAGCATTGGTTTCTGAAGAGTCCGAATCAAGAGTTGAAAGACATTCAAAAATACGTGTTTGAATATTCAGATCATCAATACTTGTATTTCCGTATAGAAAGCGCTACCTTAGCTAAGTCTTCATCAGATGTTATAACGCGTTCTTCGGCTGTTAATGTTGGCTTAGAAGCTTCAAAAAGAAGGCAACACCAATCCAAATGAGACGAAGAAAGATCTAATATATATTTGTATAATAAATCTGTTGGATGTAAATATTTATCATTTTTATCTGAGAACTCTGCTTTTCGTGCACGGCGTTCAGGTAACAGTTTAAGAAATGGTATTATATAAACCCTGACATCGTTTACAATTCGCTTTTCGTCAGTTTGCCGCAAGAAAGTTTTGATAATTTCATCTTCTGTTAGAGATTCAAATTCATCCAATGTCATAGTTATTTTGTCGTTTGATGATGGATAACAGTTATAAACAAGTTGTGACAGCATATGAAGATCTTCTTCTAAAGTTTCTAAATTTTTTACATTTTTCTTAATACCGTAGCGGACGAGAGATAAAGCTTTATCTACTTGTCCCGAAGAACTGTCAATCTTATGTGCACGATCAACATACCATTGTGTTATATAAGAGGAGGAAGCAGGATATGGAACCGATTTCATTAAAATACCATCAAAATCCCATTCCTCTGGCTCCTCTTGTAATATTTGTTTCTTCAATATAGGATTTTCAACCCAATCATAAACTCTCCATGGTTCTTGATGCCATAAACATTCTGAGGGTTCAGCACCATCATTTGACCCAACTCTTGGTAAGAAAGATTCATAGTCATCAGTATCAGCCGTTTCAGGAATTTGTTCAAGAATAGTAAATCGAAAAGGCAACATCTCATTTCCATGACGTGTAAACAGAATACTCAACCCATCAAAGAATTCATCGGCAGCGAAATCCATTGCTTGTGCGGCGATGTGCACATCGCGAAATATTGCATAATCATCGGCAAATGTCGTACTATAGTCTATGAATGTGATCCAGCCTCCATTTTCCTCTGATGAGTCCATGGAACCATTTTCGATATCCCGTCTAGTTTTCTCCTCAATAATTCGTTCATATGTAGATAACCTATCTAAATACTTTAGGAAATAATACCGACAACGGCAAATAACTTTTTGTTTTTCTGACAATTCAATGTTATTCAAAAATTTTTGAACCTCTGAATCATGAAATTCTATTGACAATAAAGGAATGTAAGAGATTTCAAT